GTATCCCCTTTTTACAGATGAGGACATTAAAACCCAGAGAGGCTAAGTAGCTTGCCCCAAGGTCTCAGAGCTAATAAGAGGTACAACCAGGAGTCAAACACAGGCATCTGACTCCAGGCCTGTACTCGCTACTGTTTAGAGACTGTATCATGTTGGGCAGTTAATCACTGAGTATTGATATACATGCTTCCCATAAAAGTGTAAGATACTGCTCCTTCCCTAAAGCTGTTGCACTGATAGATGCACAAAGCTTTTTCATGTAGAAAGAGTGACTGCAAATTTCCAAACTAGTACAAACTAGTAGAAGAACTTTAGATCAGATAAACTTCAGAAATGCATTGCCAAGACCTAAAACATAGCTATAGTTTATTTACTTTGCATATCTTTATAAGTGCTTTACACATCTGTAAAATCATACAAAAGTAAATGAAAGTTTTATGACTAAAAATCTTTAGAAATCATCATGTTTAATGCTTTTGTAGATGTGGAGATAAGGCCAAGAAAGTTTGAGTAACTTATTCAAAGTATAGCTATTTCTATTCTAAAACTGTCTTAGTGGGAACCTTGGTTATACGTAGGAAAAACCCACCTGAGGTAGTAAAGGCGAGTGGGGGGATTTATGCTGAGCATGTAAGGATTTCTCTCAGCACCCCCTGGCAGGAATGGAGCGGGGCCTAGGAACTGGGAAAATGAAGGCGTTCAGGAGCGCTCCCTTTCTTCTGTCTTGGCTTTCCTCTTTTTTCTCAGTTGACTGCCATTCTCTGATACTCAGCCCACATGACAGACAAAAGTTGGTGCCCACAACTGAGCAGAAGCTGCTCTTTGACATGTTCTAGTTCCAGTCATACACAGTGCACTTCTGTTTCTTTTTCTTTCTCTCCTCTTTCTAGATTCTCAACACAGGAGCATTCATCTTAATTCATATTTCCCAGCCCCATTTGACCATATGTAGTGACATACTAGCCATGGTTAGTGTGTCCATGAGAGCCTGTCTGCTCGGGATCCCCCTTTGTGGGCTGGGTGCCTAGAGGACAGCAGGTGCTGTCCTTACATCTAAAGACCTAAAGGATCTTTTGCCTCACAGCTTACCAGTTCCCTCCCACCTCCTTTGTGCTATGATGTTTGCACCATATTAAGTATCTGGAAGCTAAATTACTTTTTTTTTTTGAGAAAGCATAGTGTCTCCTTTAGATGGAATCTTTGTCACAAAGGTGAATATTAGCTGTTTTTAACTGTTGAATAGAGAGGGTTACTTTGACAAGAAGTGAAATACATAGTATTTTAGGCACTGTCAAAATAACAGATAATGACACAAAGCAGTTTCATCTCAAGTATGTGAATGCTGGTGTTCAGCCTTCCATTATTAAATCTACATTAAATGTGACCAATAAATCTTGATGAGTCAGAGTGATAGTTGGTGTCCTTAGTGATCCTGAGAAAGATAGTGAAATACTGAAATTTTCATCCAGTTTAATGTTATATTTTTTATTCAAATTATTTTGAAAACTGCTAATTAGTGTGATGTTAATAGCACTCTACTAACCGGAATGTTTGATTATTCAGATACCACGGTGGGTGATGTTCCTTTTGTTCACAGAATGCATTTGTGTATATGTGCTTTATATCACTTGGAAAATTCTAAGTTCTTTAAAGTTGCCTTTAAAAGTAATTCAAGAAATAAAATCTGATAACTTGCTTTAATCTTGAATGTGTTAGTAAAGTAGTTCTGCCAAGCATTGATTACAGTGTATAAAATATTTTATATCGATTTTCCAAATTATAGACAGCTCTCTTGTTTTCTCCCTTTCCAAAATGAAAGTATATAGCTTTTGGATTAATGAATTACTAATAAAAATAAATTTTGATGTAAAGTATCTTGTGCATACTTTACTGTCTTAAGTAAGTTAACATAAGTGAGCATGTAGTATAATTCAATATTGTAAAGTAATTAGCCTCCAACTAATAAAAATAAATGAAAAAAAGCTTTATTTTATTCATTTTCAGTATTGAATACTACAGTTTTTGAAACTAATAAAACTTATAATTAACTGTCCAAAAAAGACAGGTAAGTTAGGGACAAAAGGGGAGAAAGAGGCACCTAGAATCCTCTTGATAAGGAGGGAATACAAAAGAAAGAACTGATTTGGGAGAGGAGAGAATTAGGATTCTGTCTAGACATGATTTTGAGATGCACCTAAAGATATCTAACAGGAGATGTGCTATGTAGTACTAGTGTAAGGATAGCATTGGGACAGTGATGGTCAAGGCATTGGTAAAGGTAAATGTTAGTAGAAACCATAGGTTTAGATGAGATCGTTGAGGGAAATACAGTGTTCAGATGAAAAGATAAAAGGTGCAAGAATAGAATCCTGGGGAACACCCATGTTTAAGGGATAGCTCAAGAAAAGTAAATCCAGGAAGGAGATTCAGAAATAAGCACCCCAAAATAGGAAGAGAACTAGGAAAATAGTGGCCTGAAGCTGAGAGAGTGATGAACCAAGGGAGTAAGTAAGTCATGCTGCAGAAGGATCCTGAGAAACAAGGGACTACGATGTAACCACTGGATTTGACTCAGGATTTTGTAGATTTTTTAAAATGAGCTTTTTGAAAGCAGTAATATACTTTTATTGAAGATAGATTAGCAAACACAGATCAGCCAAAAGAAAAAAAAAAAAGACTTGCCGGATAGTCTCCTGTCCCAAGATAACTTTTTTTTTAGCGTTTTAGTTTATTATCCTTTTAGACTTTTTTCTTATTTATTAACAAAGGGTTTTTATTTTCTTGGAGATAACCCCAGACTGGGATAACTACTGAATAAATTGGTTAATATGTCAGGGAGTGTAAAGTGATTAGCCTCCAACTAATAAAAATAATTGGGAAAAAATAGAGTGTCAAACAAAGTAGTCAAATCGAGTGATAGCTTGCTCAAAGAGTGGAGAGACAGTGCCTGTTAGTACGTCTGTGGAAGTGCCGTTTTTACTCTCGGCAGCTGAGGGCTCTGCCAAACCCAGGGTGCAGAGGGGATTCCTGAATGGCACACACCTTTATATCTAATAGTGTCTGGCACATGGAGGTGCTCTTTTAGTTAACAAAGGGGAAGGCATCTGTGATAAGAGTGGTGAGGCTGGCAGCGATGGTCTACCTGAAGAAGAGAGTGGAGCAGGTGCCAGCAGTGACTGTGGTTCCAGCTGCTTCGCTGGAGGGCTCGTGGCCACCCAAACACCCAGCCAGGGTAAGGAAAGAGGTTGGGAGTCGGGGTCTGATACCGGAAGATCTAAGCTGGAGAAGGACAGGTAAAGTTTGGAGGTGACAGACCAAATGAAAGGGGAGGAGAATATTAAGCCAGAGAGTGGGAAGTTGACAGTTAAGATTTCAGGTGTGGATCAGTTCCTGACTGTGATGAGGCCCAGCAGATTTGAGCATAAGATTTTAAAATGGAGTAAGAAGGGAGGTGACAAGAGTTTAGGTCATCAGGGAACTTCACCTCTCGGTTTTTGGGTGAGCGATCTTAGGTGAACATTGAAGAGGTGAGGAAAATGACTCTTAGCCAAGTACCACAGTCATCAGCGAATGTGGAGGGAAGAGAGAGGATATGTGTATGTGATAAATAACAGGGAGCAATAGAAGGTGGATTTTAACTAAGAGAAAAGCCATATTTTAGAAAAAGGACAGTAGAAAGCCAAGAGAAGGCTCAGGAGGTAGGTTGTAAGCTATAGAAGAGCATTTTGTTCTAAGAACATAGACAAGGGTGTTTTGTTTTGAAATCAGACTGCAGAGAAAACTTTCTGTGGCCAGCATGACGCTGTAGGGGAGTTTGTTTACGTTGAAGCCAGGTTCCACAGGGCACAGTGGAAAGGGTTGGGAGGGAATTCGTGGATGAGGATGTGTCACTGGGGAGGAAGCTCAGAGGTATGTGAGGATGAGAGTTGAGAGGACAGATAGTTGGCCTGGGGGGGTTGTGTGAAAAGAAGAAAATTACTTAGCTTCATAAAACGTCTGATAGACTGAATTATTCTGCTTAAGAGATCTAATTATAATTCCACTATTTTGGCTTTGTTTCTCTGATATGCAAAAATGCAGTTTAATTTCCTTTAAAATTGTATATTTATGTTTGAAATATATAAGCAATATAAGCTCACTGTTTTTTAAAATAAGGTTAATGAGGTAAGTAAGTATACTCAAAATTTCCTGAAATCCCACTACCCCAGGGCCATAATTTTGGTATATATTCCTCCAGACTTTTTCTCATCTAAGCATATATATATATGTGTGTGTGTGTGTATTTAATATTTGAAAATACACTGAACATACTGTAGTTACCTGCCTTTTTTTCACATAACAATACATAGTAAATGTTATTTGTCAGAATTAGGTATATTGCTGCCATCATTTTTAGTTATTACAGTAATCCATTATAGGACTACACCATACTTGTTTCTGTTGTTGGGCTTTTGAATACTTTCCAGTTTTTTAAATCATAAATGAGGCTAGAAAGAAAAACCTTTGTGTGTACAAGTTGGCATATGTATCTGATTATTTCCTTTGGGTAAGTTTCAAGGTCAGGAGTTTTCAAGGTCAACAGTATACTTTTTGGTTTAATTTCTTTTTTGTTTCTCTTTCTCATGATTTAGCATTTGGCTGAGAAATCCTTTTTGGTTGATGATTTGGGGACATGTTTAAATATATTTGGTAAACAGTGTAAAGTCACTGTGATAGGCATATATTTGTAAGTTAATAATTTACTGTTGTTGAATAGATATTTAATAGATTTTTTTCACCAGGTGGGGAAGCCAAAAATATTAACCTGCAAATCTTTAAGTTGTCTTCTCCCAAAGGGTTTGTATATGTGAGACTTAATGCAGTCGAATTGAGATAATTTTATTTTATCTTTTATTTTTTTTGTGAGATAGTTTTAAAAATTGTTTAAGTTCTAAGTTAATAATGTCTTTAGAATGCATGGAAATGATTAACACAGTTTTCTTTGATTACTTTTTTCCCAGGTGATCCATGGCAGGGGACATGGAAGGATTCTGTTCCTCCATCCATGACACCAGTGTCTCTGCTGGCTTCAGAGCACTGTATGAGGAGGGATTGCTTCTTGATGTCACTCTGGTTATTGAAGACCATCAGTTCCAGGCCCATAAAGCACTCTTGGCCACCCAGAGTGATTACTTCAGAATTATGTTTACTGCAGACATGAGGGAGCGAGATCAGAACAAAATTCACTTAAAAGGTCTAACTGCTACAGGCTTCAGCCACGTCCTTCAGTTTATGTACTATGGAACTATAGAACTGAGTATGAGTACAGTTCACGAGATTCTTCAGGCTGCCATGTATGTTCAACTTATAGAGGTGGTGAAGTTCTGCTGCTCTTTCCTGTTAGCGAAAATCTGCTTAGAAAATTGTGCAGAAATTATGAGACTCCTAGATGATTTCGGTGTAAACATCGAAGGAGTCAGGGAGAAGTTGGATACCTTTCTGCTAGACAACTTTGTGCCACTCATGTCCAGGCCTGACTTCCTGTCTTACCTGAGCTTTGAGAAGCTCATGTCTTACTTGGATAATGATCATCTGAGCAGATTCCCAGAGATAGAGCTGTACGAGGCTGTGCAGTCTTGGCTGCGGCATGATAGAAGACGCTGGAGACATACTGATACCATCATTCAGAACATTAGATTTTGTCTGATGACCCCATCCAGTGTTTTTGAAAAGGTTGGTGCATTTGAAAGAAATAGACAAGACTCATCATTTAGTTAATAAGGCAGTATGTCTTTAGAGATAAGATTCCCAGGCTTGGTTTGAGCCAAAAAGGGAATGAATCGTTTTTAAGACTAGTTACGCATAAGAACTCTAATTTGTTGTAGCTTGTGTATTTAGGTTTTTTAAAAACACATTTTGTGGGTAAAAGATGGACCAGGTAGGTGGTAGAGTAGTTTCACTTAGAAAGTACTTTTAAAGTTGAAGTATAATTATTTAATCTAAAAGATTGTAAGTTTGCTTTAGCTTCTCATTCTTTTCACAGAGTAGTTAAATCTGAACTGGGTCAGTCTAGCTCTCTTTTTAAAAATTAATTTAAGTGATACATGCTGAAATTAGAGTCGAGAGAAGTTTTATAGTTCTGAGTGTTAAACATTAAAACAACCTCTTATTCCTCTAAAATATAGTAAGGAAGAACATAAAATAGATCTTGAAAAGCAGTAGGCCCTGGTGGTGATTTTCTTCCCTTCTCTTACCTAGTTCTGCATCCCCCTCTTTGTCCATTCCCCACCCCACCCCCCGCCCCACACTGTGAATACTAACTACATTTAACCATGAAAACATATATTTGTCCAAAACCATTTTTGGCATTTCAAAGCAAATAAGACTATAAGTCTTCTATCTACATTGATCAAACATTCATGTGTACCTTTTCCCATGTAATAGTTCTGCTATCTTAAAATTGTCTTTCTTCAAAACAGTCTTGGCCTTTTTGCATGTAAGCATTTTTCATTTTTTACCAGTCTTAGTTGTGATCCTTTCTTGCCCAAAGGAGAAGAAAGCATTTTTGGTAATTGCTTAACTTAATTGGTTTCTAATCACATGGTTACCTCTGGGGCTCTGTTTACCTCTTGCATCTTTTCTTTCTAGAAAGCATACTTAAATCTTTGGTTGACACCCTTCATGTTAGGTAGTTCCTCAGTTTTAGTTACCAGACCTGGTGATAAAAATACAATATTTGCAGAGAAGGGTTGTTTACACAATTTGAAAAATAAGCAAATTTGTGCCATCAAATAACACTCAGCAGCCTGGGATGTGTTTTTGTTTCCTCTCTGAAATGGTGTGAAATATCATTAACTTACACTTTCAATAGATAACTCAGTTTTGTGGGATTTTATCTTTATTCTCAGAATGTACTGATACGGCAGACATAATTGAGATGAAAGAATACACTTCTTAATTACTTTTTGTTCAGTGATAATCAGCCCCATGTCAGCAGTGCAGATCATTTTTCTCTGCTGTTTTGATTTTTTTTCCTTATTGTTTTTATTGCCTTCTTTTCCTGGGGAATCCTGTTTTGTCTTTATGTGTTAGATGCAGATGCTTTCCCACTACTAAAGCAAACAACCTCGCCCTCTCCAACTTCAGTTTAGATGTAGATGCTCGTGAAATAGAAAATAAAATAAAATTTTCCCTCTTGTAAGACATTATGATAGATAATTGATAGCAGTAAATGATTTTTTAGTGCTGAGTTGCAAGAGTGAGGTAATTCTACACAACCATAATACCATTATTGAAATTAACAGTCTTAATATCATGTAATATCCCAGTTTATTTTCTGATATTCTCTCTCCAAGCTGTCTTTTTTAAGCTGTTTTTTGAAGATTTAATCAAGGTTCATATAGCACATTAGTTACGATGTCTCTCTTTTAATCTGGAATGGTCCCTTCTTGTTTATGATGAGGATACTCAAACATACAAAAAGTTGAAAGAATAGTATAATGAATAGCTATGTAACTATCACCTAGATTCAAGAACTGTTAACATTTTACCATATTTTCTCTATATAGATTTTCCTTTGCTGAACCTTGGAGAATAAGTAGAAAATACAACATCTTGTCTCTTAATGCTCATTAACTCTTCTAAGAATAAGGATGTTTTCCTACTATTAACAATAAGACCCTAGTATGAACTAACAGCTAGTTAATATTCAAAGTTGTCCCCAAATGCCCTAGAATCTAGTCATGGTTTATGCATTGCTTTTAGTTATCATGTCTTTTTAATCTTTTTTTTTTTTGAGCATTGATGATTTTCTTTTTTTTTTTTCATTTATTTTTATTAGTTGGAGGCTAATTACTTTACAATATTGTAGTGGTTTTTGTCATACATTGACATGAATCAGCCATGGAGTTACATGTATTCCCCATCCCGATCCCCCCTCCCACCTCCCTCTCTACCCGATCACTCTGGGTCTTCCTAGTGCACCAGGCACGAGCAATTGTCTCATGCATCCAACCTGGGCTGGTGATTTTTAATCTTTCTTAATCTAAAACAGATGCCCACTTTTTTTTTTTTTGAGAAAAATCAGATTAGCAATTATCTTAGTGTGTCCCCACATTCTGAATTTATCAGATTTCCTTATGTTGGTGTTAACTTAGTTGCTCTCTTCCTTATATTTCCTATTAACACATCTAACATCCTGTATTTTCAGGAACAGTTACAGGAAAATATTGTTGTAATGCCAGAGAAAGTCTTGGAAAACCACTTGGCAGCTCTGATCAAACTTAGAGTTTACCATTCTTTTTTGTATTAGGAGGCTAAGTAGCCCCAAATCTTCAAGGACTTGATTCACACTATTCTATGTTAGGTTTCTTTTACATTCATAAAGTTCCCCTCCCTTTAAAAAATTAGGAACTCTTCCATTCAATTTATAGAAACTAAAACTAGCTAAAGTGTCAAAATTAAAAGATTATTCTTTCTTAAAAAAAGTTGTATATTTATAACTCTAGAACTGCTTTGTTCAGTACAGTCACTGCTTGTGGCTTTTTGAATACTTGAAATGTGACACATACGATTTGAGATTTCAAAGATTAAAAGATGACAAAAAGGATATAAATTACCTAATTACTAACTTTTATATTTTGGATATATTGGGTTAAACAAAATACATTATTAAGGTCAATTTTACCTTTTTACTTAAAATATGGCTGATAGAAAGTATAAAATTATATCTCTGACTCACATTTGTGACTCAGATTATCTTTCTGTTGCACTGAGCTGCTCTAGAAGTTCAAGGAGTTAAGTTGTGCTTTAGAAACTCTAAAGGTGCATACATTAAACAGTCTTTCTCACATATTTAACCCCTCTCCTGGAGTTTTAGCCTTTAGAAATGTTCTGTTAGGTTTAGTGTTCAATTAACAGATAACTTACCTTAGCTAATTATTCTGTGGAGTGGCTGATGCAGATAGCTTGAGAATAGCATCTCTTTGTCTGAATCCTTTCCCTGGCCTCAGGACAATTCAAAAGTGATTGAACAGAACTTGGTGAAGGAATCTTGAGAGATTTTAATTCTTCTTTTGGTAGTAACGATCAGATCTTAGCAGTGGCTTGATCAGATCTGAGCAGTGGCTTTGTAAGGGGTCATTCTGCCTCTCCCCAAGGAAGAGCCCCCACTGATTCCAGGTACCTGGATCATGCCCTCTGAATCTGCCGAAGTCTTTAGATTTATTCTTTTCCCCTAGTCCTCTACTAGAATTTCTCCCCAGCTGAAAACAAACTGTCTTAAACTTCTGTACTGAATACTCTGGGATAGGATCTTCACCCAAGAGACCAAGACTCCCAGATTTCCACACCAAGTTCCATCTAGGCAGTGATTCTCCTCATCTGAACACCTAACACATACATGCCAGGCCACGCACTGAGTGCTCTACACATAGGCAAAGTCAATAGGTTCTCTCTGTTTTGTAGCTAGGAAAACAGGCTCAGAATGGCCTGGGAGTCTTATCCAAGAGTAGGCGCTCTTTCCAGACTGGACCCAGGTCTGCTTGCTTCTCAGTTGGAGCTGCCAGAGTTGGGAGAGGAGAGGATTCTGTGGTGCAGGAAGCATGCAGTTAACTCTGTGGCCCTGCTTGGGTGGCATAGAAGTTGGTACAGAGTTGTCAAAATCCTATCATGTTTGCATGAAGGAAACATAGCCTAACAATTTTAATGGCACTGAAAAAAAGTATAAGATATGGGAATAAGATATGAAAGCACAATTCTGGAGTTTTTACTGTATAATCATAGAAAGCTGAAGATAAATTTAAGGATCTTGTCCTTTTGATATAGTTGTTTAGGAGTTTTTATGATTTATTTTATCTATAGTGGGTTCCCAGTTTTAATACTAGACATCAATTTCAGTTTTTACATAATGCAAATATCTGTAGCATATATTTTTGCTAACTCTAACGGTCTTTGCATCTGTTGAGAGATTAGGCCTGACATTTGTCATTCTGAATTTCAGTGATGTGCAGATTTAAATAGTTTTAAACTTTGTTCTCTTTGGTCTTTTAGTTTTTAAAAAACAATTATTAGTTTATCAAAAACATTTTATGAAATGAATGTATATTTGGCAAAAGACACATATACTTTTTTGTACAGAAAAGATCTTTTTAGCAAATTTGTTAGATTAGTCATTAAAATACCCATATGTTGATTTATCTTCCATATCATAAATATGCATAAAGTAAGATTTAGCATACCAATGATGTCCTTAGAAATTGTATTAATAATAATCATAATCTTAAAATTTTTCAGAAGAAAATATTTTTGAAGGAATCAGGTTATATAGATGAATTCTGCTTTATTTCAAATGTTTTATAAAGTAGTTTATGATATTCAGATACTCTAATGTGCTTTTTCCCTCTGATCTGTTAAATGTAATTCACCATATCCCCCCAAATTGAGTTTATATAAACTTTTGAAGAGCAAAACTAATGTTTTAATGAGAAAAGATGTTAATTCTCCTTTGCTGAGAATATATTTGGATTTAACAAATCATATCTACATTTGATAAAATTTGTTGTTATAAGGATATTTAGAGCCTTAAGATAATTTTGATAGTCCATTAAAAGATAAATTCATTACTAGTGAATATTAATCCTAGGATCAGAGTGAAATTTTATGCTTAGAAAGGCTAACACTTTTTTTTTAAATGTCTTTTAGTTAAGGAGCAGAATGTGTGACTTTAAAAGCTA